CAAGCATTGTTAATAATGCCATATCATGCTTGATTAATTTTTGGGAACAGGAAGCATACTCAGATATAACGGCCCAGATACCAAAATAAACTGCAGCAGGTATAGCAAGTCAGGTTGTGGAAGCGTCTGGTGTCACATATAATGACGCCACGAGGCCTAAATATCGTGAGAACCGGTTTCTGTTATTTCCAAATTTATCAGGACGATGCTGTAAATACAATCTTCAAATTGAAAGGCAGTTTACAGACGATGTCAAATTGAAACTGAAATCTAAATCTAAAAGAGTAATTATGAAATCTAAAGGAGCAGCAGACTGACAAATAGAAGTAAATATTATTGTTTAGGGGAAACTTAGCCAAGTTGGCTCCACTAGAGACATGCCGACGATGCTATTTAACGGGGCGAAAGAAATTAGGGCGGCAACCGGAGGCGAAACCGTGGAGCGTCGCCACCAGTCGACTCGTCACCCTTCACTCCACTCATAATTACACTCGTCACCCTTCAGTCACCTCATAATTACACTCGTCAGGAACTCCGAGAAAACATAAAAGTAGGCGTCACGTCGGGTCATCAGTCAACGTAGAAACCGAGGAAGCGGCGGGGAGACTCAAATATTTTCAATCGACTCGTATGGTAGTCTGCAAATGTATTATAGCCTAGTGCGGATCCTTAGAGTGAAAAAGGTGCTATTTTGTGATTGGTTGTTAAGACTTTTTTTGGAGGGAGTTTGCCAAAGGGGGAGGGGTGTTTATTTTTTTTCTTCTAAGGACTAATAACCTAAGTAGTGTATATTATTCATATACATTCGGGTGAACACGCCGACACGAGAATAAATCTGCTCACGTGAGCACATCCATCACGCACAGGACCGCTCACACGTGCGTGCTCACATGTAAAATGCACACGACCGTCAACAACACACGCAACATGGACAAGAGTCAGGACACGCACGCACGCAACACATAACCCAGGACCGTCAACAACACACGCAACACACACACAAAGTCAAGGACCATCAACACACACAATCAGCACCAACACAAACACCCACTATAAGAACACAAGGCGCACGCAAACGCAAAATACTCACACACAAACGCTCCCCCCCCCACACACACACATATTCCATGTAAAAGAGGCACACGACGCGGCAGAGGCGACAAGTAAAGCAGGAAGTGAAGGGGGCGGACTTTGAGAATTTCTCCCCCCGGAGGTTAGCGTTCGCCTTGGCGTCATCAGTAGCGCAGAGCTTGTCTTCCGCCTGTGGTGGTGGGGGTGGTTCTCATCCTGGTTCCTCTTCACAATCGTGTTCATTATGACAAATGCCCTTTGTCATATTGTCTTGGGAATATATATTGACGCTCTGAGCTATTTATTACCGTGGAAGCTGTGGCCTTTTTTCTGTTTGTTTATATAAGGTTCGAGAGTTAGCGGGAATATGACATTCGTTGCCATAATATTTCCATTATTCATTCTCTAGCTGAATGGGATACGTTTTTGACTAGTGTCAGTTTGTAATGTATAGGATTGTTGATAATTTCGTTATATTAAATCAGATTTAATTTCATTTGAACTTTAATACTGGCCAGAGATAAGATTTTATATAGCAATGATTAAATATATATATTTTTATTTTGTTATTATAATTGTTTTAATCTTTGTACAATCATCTTTTATTATTAGAAATGTTGAGTTAATGGCATTAGTGGGCAGCAAGTTCACCGGTTCATTACTCCTGCCACAGCTATTGTCTTGGAAGATGTAACGTTGGTGGGAATAACGTGCGGCCGTTATCAAACATTCTAGTACAGTTACCCCTTATTGCTTCACCGCGGCTCATGGCTGCTGTGCGCGCCACGACCGTCTCTCTTCCTTCACTGCTCTCATGGCTATACTGTCTCCCTCTCTTGTCGTGTTCCGTACACCCTAGTTGGCTGGTAGTGTGGTCTCACACTAGTTGGCTGGTAGTGTGGTCTCACACTAGTTGGCTGGTAGTGTGGCCTTACACTAGTTGGCTGGTAGTGTGGTCTCACACTAGTTGGCTGGTAGTGTGGCCTTACACTAGTTGGCTGGTAGTGTGGTCTCACACTAGTTGGCTGGTAGTGTGGTCTCACACTAGTTGGCTGGTAGTGTGGCCTCACCCTAGTTGACTCGTGTGGCCCTCACCCTATTTTCCCTTCTCTTCCTGTTTAATGTACAATATAGTCTGCTTTACCTCCCCGCCACCCCTCTCACCCTACCCCCTCCCCCTTCTCCTTGTCCTCCTTATATAATTACTCTTTTCATCTTACTTTCCTCTCTGGCCTTCCAACTCATTTCTCCGTTCTCACCCCCAGTTTCTTTCCCCCCCTCCCCACTCAGTTTCTTCCCTTCCTCCCTCAATTTCTCCCCCTCCCCCAGATTTTTCCCCCTCCCTCCCCTGATCAGGGCGTCTGGAGCAGGAGACCAAAGAGTGGATAACATTTCTCTCTTGATGATAGATGGAATTTTCAAGCCTTTTCAGCTTTCGTGACTATAAAATATATTTTTATTGCTTGGTTATTATTATTAAAGTTAATTATTTTTATGTTAAGAGCAGAGCTAACTGAATGTGTTGATGGGAGTCGTGATCAGCTGTGAGGGTTCAATGTTATAATTATATTCTTAGGCTATTATATTCTTAGTCTTGAAGGTATTTGACCTAAATGCTAAGACTTGTACAGCACTTGCATCTGCTTATGATCTCGGCGAGCACAGAACTGGGAGAATAATTCTGGTGAGATTAACGAGAAAGTGAGTTTATTTTGACGAACTTTTTGTTAGGCTTGACTAGGAAGTTTTTTTTTTAGGCTGCTGTGGTAGTGATGTCAGATCTAATTCTCCTGTTAAGGCATCATTCGCCATAACTTATTGTTCTGTTTTATTAATCAACGATAAATTAGTCCAGTAAAGTATATAAATTAAGATATTACATGTTGAAAATAATGTTAATAATACCATCTGAATGCAAAGTGTGAGACGGGTGAGGTGTGTGTGTGTGTGTGTGTGTGTGTGTGTGTGTGTGTGTGTGTGTGTGTGTGTGTGTGTGTGTGTGTGTGTGTGTGTGTGTGTGTGTGTGTGTGTGTGTGTGGACGGAACCCGTCACAGCCACCAAGTGAAAGTGACGCCACTGTCTGAGCGGGAATGTTTGTACCGTACGCGTCATGTCACCCTGTCAACCAATCAGGAGCGTTCTCTCTTCCCCCCCTCCCCTTCTCCCAAGTCACGTGATCCAGTCCCCCCTTTCCCAATCACATGCGTTCTATTTCAACCGCGAGAACTGTTCCACCAATGAGCTGTACTCTTCCATCAGTCATCACTGACTATATTCCACGAATCAGAATAGTCCCATCGCCTCATTGGCCGACACGACGATGCTGGTCGCCAATCAGAATCGCTCTTACAGGGGAAAAACAAAAGGAGACAACATATAATATTTTAGTGGGAATAAAAAAAAAGAGAGACTGGAACTTGGGTGCTTGAAGAAGACAACAATGGGTTGTGAAGACAACAATGGGTTGTGGAGGCCGAACATTAGTAAAGCAACCGTTATGCCGCGCTTCAAACGCTGGAGGTAGTTCCCTGGTAGTTAGTTCTCGGTGTACAACCCGTTGTTGTTATAGATTCAGCTACTCGGAACAAGTTCCAAGTAACACGGGCTACGGTGAGCCCGTAACTTACCTGGCACAGGAGCGGGGCAAGTAGCACGGGCTATGGCGAACCCGTAGTGGACTTACCTGGCACAGGAGCGGTGCTGTCTGTCTGGTGTACAACCAATTGATTGATTGATCAAGATTAAGCCACCCAAAAGGGGGCACGGGCATGAATAGCCCGTCTGTGTACAACCGTACACCGAGATAATATATAATACAATCACTGAGTTTATATAAGCTATATAAATAGCTTATATAAGCTATTTATAATAAAAGAAAATATAACCAATACTCATTAATTCTTTCATTTAATTTTTTAAAATATTTTTTTAACAATTGCCATCCACGTTTAAGCTTTCATTTTTGACCTATAATGAACCATTATTACCAAAATATATTGTCCAGCTTTATAGCTGGAAAATTAATAATGATTCACATTGTATTATGTTCATCATTGTTCTGAGTGTTCGTCTGGGAGCCTCAATAAAATTGTTTTATTTTGCCCCGAGGGGCGAGTTTATTGGGCAGCGTCACCCATCCTGTGAGTGGACACACCGCCATATTGACAATACTGGGCAGCGCCACTCATCCTGTGAGTGGACACACCGCCATAGTGACAGTATTGGGCAGCGTCACCCATCCTGTGAGTGGACACACCGCCATATTGACAGTATTGGGCAGCGCCACCCATCCTGTGAGTGGACACACCGCCATAGTGACAGTATTGGGCAGCGTCACTCATCCTGTGAGTGGACACACCGCCATAGTGACAGTATTGGGCAGCGTCACCCATCCTGTGAGTGGACACACCGCCATATTGACAATACTGGGCAGCGTCACCCATCCTGTGAGTGGACACACCGCCATATTGACAATACTGGGCAGCGCCACCCATCCTGTGAGTGGACACACCGCCATATTGACAATACTGGGCAGCGCCACTCATCCTGTGAGTGGACATTAAACCATATCCCCCCCTCTCCACCTATAGGAAGAATTCCCGCTGGGTATTGTTTATCCTGTTGACGTACAGGATAAACATAAACCTGCGTTTGTTTATCGTGTTGACGTACAGGATAAACATATACCCCGGTTTGTTTATCCTGTTGACGTACAGGATAAACATATACCTGCATTTGTTTATCCTGTTGACGTACAGGATAAACATATACCCCGGTTTGTTTATCCTGTTGACGTACAGGATAAACATAAACCTGCGTTTGTTTATCCTGTTGACGTACATGATAAATATATACCAGGGTTTGTTTATCTTGTGACGTAGTTGGTGCCCCATATTATCCACCATGGTCCATCCTCCTAAAATGTATCTGTAGTAACGTTGATGTTCTTTTGTTTGCAGTGAGTGGGTGGGCGGCAGCTGTGGGGCTGGAGGCGCAGTGTCCGTGGTGACCACAGTGTGGGGAGTGACAAGTGCCACCACGCAGAGTACCCCCACTCCCACAACCCCCAACTGCACCACTACACCAAACATGCCGGCTCAACCATTCAACCCACACACCAAGCCTTTCGCCAATATGGTCAACTACCCTACCAAGCCTAATGGGTGAGTCCTCTATTTCTCCCTCCCACACACACACACCATTCCCTACCCCCTATTATATTATTTATTGTGTTATTGGAGGCCCCCATTGCTTTCTCTTGGTGCTTTCTCTTTGCGCTTTCTATTTTTTGGTGACGGTTTAATTTTCTGTTGTGGTTAAGTGTTTTTGTTTTTTTGTCTTTGCGAGAGTGGGCGGTGTGTGTGTGTCTTTGCGAGAGTGGGCGGTGTGTGTGTGTGTGTGTGTCTTTGCGAGAGTGGGCGGTGTGTGTCCTTGCGAGATTGGGCGGTGTGTGTATGTGTGTGTCTTTGCGAGAGTGGGCGTGTGTGTGTGTCTGTGAGAGTGGGCGGTGTGGGTGTCTGTGAGTCTCTGGGATTTATGGTAGCTTTGGCAGTTGTTGTGGAGTCTGTGTTAGCGGAGGGCTGCCTGCCTCTCATGGCTGGATTCCTCTTTTCTTGTTGCTGAATGGGTTCACGGGATTGTATGCGTGGGGGAATAGGGGAGGGGAGGGTGGGGCGTGTGTGAGAGGGTGGGGGATGACGGGTGGGCATGGGAGGGGGGGAAGGGAGTGTGGGGCACGTGTGTGTGTGTGTGTGTGTGTGTGTTGGAGACGGGGAGGGGGGGGGGGGTGTACGGGCGTGTGTGTGTTGGGGATGGTTGCGTGGGCGTGTGGGGGTGTGTGCGTGTTTGGGTTAAATGCGGGGAGGGGGGGGGCGAATGGTGAGGGATAAATATGTATGCATGTGTAGCCAATCCGTTTCTTCGTAAATTCGTGTTTACAAATGAATGATCAGACGTGTTGATGTTTGAATGTGTTTGCCTGTCTGTGGGCGCATGTCTGTGTTCACTTGTCTCTGCGCTCAAGGCAGCGTGCGCAGGTCTCTGCGCGCATGTCTCTGAACTCATACCTATGCGCATGTGTGTATTATTACCTAATTTTTGCCCTAATTCATTTAAAATATCATTGGTTTCATCCCAGAAGCAGTTATAGCCTATTGTAAAATATAATGTTTTTTCTACAGATTTCCTCAAGTTACAACTATGATCTTCAGTTCTCGTTCTGTTGGGCATCAGGACTCCTTGTTTCAACCTTGTATGGTTATCATATCCTGTTACAAGCTTGTATGGTTATCATATCCTATTTCAAGCTTGTATGGTTATCATATCCTGTTACAAGCTTGTATGGTTATCATATCCTCTCCTTATCTTCCAATTTTGGTCTGGCCAGAGGCCTCAATCTGTCTATAGCGTTGTGCACCATAAGTGTTCTTGCAGGTTTGAGCGTTAGCTCCTGGGCCCCGCCTTACCTGCTGTTTGTCTAACGCAAGTGCTTCCCGACCCCCTCCTGTTCCTTGTCCTGCCTGGAACATACCTGGAGAGTTTCACGTTTTAGATTCAGCTACTCAGAACAAAAGTTCCAAGTAGCACGGGCTATGGTGAGCCCGTAGTGGACTTACCTGGCACAGGAGCGGGGCTGTGTGACCTGGAGAGGATTTCGGGAGTTCTTCTACTCCCCGAGCCTCGGGTTGGGCGCCCCAGCCTGATTACTTAAGCCTATCAACTTAAGCCTGACCACTTAAGCCTGACCACTTAAGCCTGACTACTTTTGAAATTGGTTGTAACGACTCTTGTCTCTCCCATTTTCTTTGTCCATCTGTTACTTTGACCGACATATTCATTCTGTCTCGAATGTTCATCCTTGACCCCCCCCTCCCCTATTGTTCGTCTATGCTTTATACTGAACATGTTCACCTTGTTCTACATTGCCGTATACTGAACATGTTCATTTCATCAACCTTTACAATTCCACTGACAACTCTGTTCCATCTCTCTTCACGAGTGGTGAGGCGAGGCTCCCATTTTTGTTGTCCCTCTCACTCTAATCCTCATAGTACGAGCCTTGTTACATACGTCTTGAACTTGTATAAGTTTGGTTTCTTCAGGATGGAGGGTAGGGGGTAGGGGGGCATGGGAGTGTAGAATGGGCTTCTTGCGTGCAGCTTGTGATATTCTCTCTCTCTCTCTCTCTCTCTCTCTCTCTCTCTCTCTCTCTCTCTCTCTCTCTCTCTCTCTCTCTCTCTCTCTCTCTCTCTCTCTCTCTCTCTCTCTCTCTCTCTCTCTCTCTCTCTCTCTCTCTCTCTCTCTCTCTCTCTCTCTCTCTCTCTCTCTCTCTCTCTCTCTCTCTCTCTCTCTCTCTCTCTCTCTCTCTCTCTCTCTCTCTGAGCCTCCGGTGCTAGGATCGTGGTTGTATTAACTCTTTGTTTCAAGGAATAGTTCTCCATTTCTTTTGTTGAATGCATAGTTTTGTTCCCTTATTCTCAATACCTTGCATTTATCTGGGTTAAGGTCAAGCAGCCATTTTGCTAACCTTCCCTGAAGGTTATCTAGGTCGTTTTGATATTTTATTTCAACCCTCGTGTGATATGAGTTCATTAACCTGCTTGATACCTGCTTGATGGGGTTCTGGGAGTTCTTCTTATCCCCAAGCCCGGCCTGGGGTCAGGCTTGACTTGTGAGAGCTTGGTCCAACAGGCTGTTGCTCGGAGCGGCCCACAGGCCCACGTATCCCTTACAGCCTGATTGGTCCGGCATTTCTTGCAAGAACTTATCTAATTGACTCTTGAATATATCCACCTTTGTTCCAGCAATATTTCTAATGCTTGCTGGGAGGGTGTTGAACAGCTGTGGACCTCTGATGTTCAGACAGTGTTCTCTGATTGTGCCTATGGCACCTCTACTCTTCACTGGTTCTATTCTGCATTTCCTTCCGTATTTCGCTCCAGTATGTTATTATTCTACAAATATCGCCTTTTCCTTCTCATGAATAGAGAGAGAGAGAGAGAGAGAGAGAGAGAGAGAGAGAGAGAGAGAGAGAGAGAGAGAGAGAGAGAGAGAGAGAGAGAGAGAGAGTGTGTGTACTCACCTAATAGGAGTAGTGTGTGTGTGTGTGTGTGTGTGTGTGTGTGTGTGTGTGTGTGTGTGTGTGTGTGTGTGGTGCAAGCTTAGGTATTTCCTAGCGTGTTTGGGTAGTGTGTGCGTGCGCCCATAACATTTGCCCGGTTAATGGATTCGATTGTCTTCTGCGAATTAATAACATTTCTTGACGTGAGTGAGTGCCTTCCGCGTGCGAATTGATGGAACATTTGTGTGCTGGGGGATGGCTACGGAGTTTTTCGTGCCGGCATAAAGTAGTAAACTAGATTATTTATATCAGTTTCCCCTGCACAGGCCTCGTTTTCTATAATTAATGAACAATAATTTGTCCCAAAGATCATCCCATTTTCTCTCTTGAAAAAAAAAGTTTCTTGTTTAATATGTGATATATTCTTACGATTGGGTTTAATTCGACTGTTATTACCTCCATTTGTGTTTGTTAATTGTTATGTAATTTTTGTTATATTAGAAGTAGTATTTTAATTGTTCGTCATACCGGTTTGTAACGATTGCCTAGAGTACTAGGCTAGTTTGGCCAAGTCATAATGAGAATTCGCAAACGTGTGTATATATATATATATATATATATATATATATATATATATATATATATATATATATATATATATATATATATATATATATATATATATATACCGGTATTTTATTATTATTATTTGTGGTTTGAAGATAACGTTCCAGTTATGTCTTGATAAACAAAAAATTGTTCGTCCTTCTGACGCTGGCTTGGGTTTGGTGTTGAATTTCCAACTGGATCTTGGCATGTTAGTTTTTGTTAATTTACTGTGTGATTACTCTTTTGTTTACGTGTTAATTTGACTTTGGGAACTTAATTTATTGTGTTGAGTCAATTGTTGAAGCTAATTTATTGTTTTAAAAACTAAAATTAAGTTTCAAAGCTTCATATTTTGTTTTGTTTTTAATTTGATTTTAAAACACTGATTTGTAAATATTTTCTTAGTTAACTAATTCTGTTTTTACTTTTTTTCTTCTACTCTGACAAAGATTGTGGGGAACGGAGCCTGACGCAAATCCATATAATGGCTCTCAAAATGCGTATGAGGATTTCTACAAGACCGGGTAGGGGGCTCCCCTGTTGTCCAATCCCTGTTGATTTGACCTAAATTAAAAATTGAAAGTGTAATTTAAAATAATATAACAAATGATCTCTTATGTATAAACTCTTTTGTTTTATTTTGTGCGAATGGCTGGTTTGAGAGTAAGGCGAGAATGTGTAGTGAATAATGTACATATGTTCAACTCTGGACGTTTTAGCATTGGACTTTTTAATCTGCTTAAGTCTAGAGTATATGCCTAGCCTAGCGACTCTTAACCTAGCCTAACGACTCTTAACCTAGCCTAGCGACTCTTAATCTAGCGTGTTTTAACCTAGTTTAGCCAGTCTTAACCTAGCGTAGAAAATTTTAACCTAGCTTAGCGACTCTTAACCTAGCCTAGACAATCTTAACCTAGCCTAGACATTCTTAACCTAGCCTAGCGGGTCTTAATCTATCGTAAACAGCCTTAACATTGTCCAGTCTTACCTAGCCTAGTACCTCGTAGCCTAGCTAGTCTTATTGTAGTGTAATCTTGTCAGGCTAAAACGTCCATTAACTGCTTGAAGATATTGCTTTGAGATTTCCCGCTGCATGATGTTAAGTTAAGACTTTCCTCCTATTTAGCTTCATGTCTGAAATGCTTGATAAGTTATTCTGGAACTTAAGTACGAAAGGTTGTTGGTCCGCCTCTGGTGAAGGAGGCAATTGATGATTTGCGAAGCAGAATTAGGCATCAATGTTAGCATCGTGTCGCTAATTGTTTGGGGATATAGCATTGCTATAGCATTGTTTGGGGATGTTGGCCGTATTCTAGATGACATATTTACATGTGTCATCCTGTTACAGGTTCATTGTAAGTGTGTAATTTGTTGATGGAACACTGCCAAGTTCTTTATCTTATCAAAGGAACACAGATTAGCGTGCCGAGTATAGTCCACACTTTTCCTTAAAAAAAATCATTCTTTAATGTCAGTTAGTCATTATTTTATAAATCAAATATGCATTATGGTGTATTTTTTTTTTGCTCTGAATATTCCATTCAAATATTCCTTTCTTTTCTATCAAATATTGATGGTTTTCTGTCAGAATCAGACTGTTGATTTCACCATGTCAGTCTGCTCATCTGTTCATGCAAGAGTAATTTGTCATGCCAGTCACCTTGCTGAAGAATGACTCTTAATGTGGTTATTTCTAGTTTCCCATAAAAAATATAACATGATACCATTAAGGATTCTTCCGATGAGAATTAAGTCAGATATAAACCTCCATGAAATCTGTATTGCATGAGATTATACATATATATATATACATATATATATATATTTATATATATATTACTAACCCTTGTCTCTCTAAACTGTTGTCATACCTCTCAAGCAGTAGTTTTCGAGTAGACGAAATTGTCATACTTATTATTTTGCATAAGAGAATATATATATTTGTTGCTCTATATAAATATTTAGTCATTTATAAATAAGGCTTCATATTGAGAACTCATTTCATGTTCAAGAGATTATCGGGTTTTTATTTTAATAAGTTCATACCATTTTTTATATAAAAATCTTATAATTTCATTTATTCACAGTTCCCCCCCCCCCATCTAAAGCCCATTGTTGTGAGTAAATTATGACTCCATCTGGAAGATTAATGTAATTTTCTCAAGGAGCTTATCAAGAGTCCAACCTAAATACCATATCATGCACGGGTTCTCAATTATAATATTATAAAAATCGTATGATATTCATAGTTTGTTTTTCGTAGCAAAGACTCATTCTAATTTCTGGTGTTTTCTGAAGGTGGTGGGGCGCACAGGGCGACTCAAGTCAATGTAAAGCTGAACAAAAACCATTTGAAGACCATTGCAGCTCTAACGGGTAGGCCGCTTCAAGTTTGATGCCTTAAATTAAGTCTCTGTCTGTCTGTCTGTCTCTCTCTCTCTCTCTCTGTCTCTCTCTCTCTCTCTCTCTCTCTCTCTCTCTCTCTCTCTCTCTCTCTCTCTCTCTCTCTCTCTCTCTCTCTCTCTCTCTCTCTCTCTGCCCTCAATTTGGTTTATATACTTTCTTAACCATCTTTTGTAAATAAATAAAAATAAACATGTCATATGTATGGGTAATTTTAATTTAAGGCGTAGAGGAGAATATATATATATATATATATATATATATATATATATATATATATATATATATATATATATATATATATATATATATATATATATATATATATATAATGTGTGTGTGTCCATGACGTGTCATTGACATGTAACTGGACGCGAATATTATAATCTTCCACAAAACTCAAATGGTTTGATTGTTTGCCCCTCAGCGGTTACGCCAATAGTCCGGGTCCTGCCATGTCAGGGAACACGGGTATGGTTGGTCCCGGGGGCATGGGGGCGCCGGGCACCATGGGTGGCAATGGTGCCGGAGACGCCCTCAACACGGCCGCCATGGTCGCCGCCGCCACCGCCACTGCCACCGCCACCGCCGTCGCCCTCCGCCCGGAGAGACCGGAGATGCAGGGCCAGTACAACGGCCAGGTGAGTGGCGCTCTGGATTTTTCTCGTTCTCCATTTTGGTTTTCGCGATTTCGCGCTCTCATCCTTCCCCACCGTCATGGGGGAACCTGAGGGTAAATTCCCTAGTATGCCAAATGCTGCCATCTGGTGGCTGGCGAGAGTATTAACACTGGGTCAAACACACTCTGGCCCCGTGCTTCCTCCCATTAGTTCAAGTTCAAGTATGTTTATTGAGACAAGAAAGAATCCTCCCAGTAGAAGTAGCTCAAGCATGGGGGAAGGGTTGGGGGGGAAGGTAGGTGACAAGGGGAAAAAAATCCCCTGCGAATCCAGGGAAATAAAAGGAGTTTGCGGGGAGGAAAGTTCCACTCGGAGAATAGGATAGCTGCAGTTAGGGAGAAACTTACCCACTTGGCGGGGGAAAAAGGCGGACCTGGGGAGAAGAATACTTTTTTTTTTCCTTAAATGAATTCGCGTAGGGAAGGAGGTAAACATACCAGGTGGAATCCATTGTGACTCATCTAGTAGTGACAAGGGTGTCGATATGGGCAAGGGTGACAAGGGTGTCGACATGGGCAAGGGTGATAAAGGTGTCGACATGGGTGAGGATGACAAAGGTATCGACATGGGTGAGGGTGACAAGGACAGTCAAAGTCTTCGACTGGGTAGAAGAAAATAACATGATGTTTAACAGTGATAAATTCCAGGTACTCAGGTACGGTAAAAATGAGGACCTTAAACATAATACAGAGTACAAAAACAATCAAATGTGTCCATAGTAGGAAAACAGTATGTCAAGGATTTGGGAATAATGATGTCTAACGACCTAACGTTTAGGGAGCATAACCAAGCAAATATTGCGTCAGCCAGAAAAATGATCGGATGGATTACGAGAACGTTTAAATCCAGGGATCCCATCACAATGGTTGTACTCTTCAAATCACTTGTGTTGTCCCGTCTTGAGTACTGCTCAGTACTCGCTTCCCCCTTCAGAGCAGGAGAGATTGCTGAAATAGAGGGAATACAGAAAACATATACGGCACGCATAGACGAGATAAAACACCTAAATTATTGGGATCGTCTCAAAGCTCTCCAAATGTACTCACTAGAAAGGAGACGAGAGAGATACCAAATAATATACACATGGAAAATACTGGAAGGCCAGGTCCCTAATAAATAACAACATACTGGAGTGAACAATATGGAAGAAAATGCAGAATAGAACCAGTGAAGAGCAGAGGTGCCATAGGCACAATCAGAGAACACTGTATGAACATCAGAGGTCCGCGGTTGTTCAACATCCTTCCAGCGAGCATAAGAAATATTGCCGGAACAACCGTGGACATCTTCAAGAAAAAACTAGATACTTTTATTCAGGAAGTGCCGGACCAACCGTCCTGCGGGCCGCTCCAAGCAACAGCCTGGTGGACCAAACTCTCACAAGTCAAGCCTGGCCTCGGGCCGGGCTTGGGGAGTAGAACAACTCCCAGAACCCCATCAATCCCGACTAACCCAGGTAGGTGAGCTAACTAACCCAAGTAGGTGAGCTAACTAACCCAGGTAGGTGAGCTAACTAACCCAGGTAGGTGAGCTATAACTAACCCAGGTAGGTGAGCTAACTAACCCAAGTAGGTGAGCTAACTAACCCAAGTAGGTGAGCTAACTAACCCAGCTAGGTGAGTTAACTAACCTACCATAACTACTTATAAGTGGACCATTTCCATGGCCCTCGCCTGGCAGCCTGGCCTGGGGGTACCCTGCCCCCAAGCGAGTGTCTGCACCATTACAAACTTAAAATGATATTACAGAGACATTGATGGGTGGTCCCTTGTGATTGACGGCCACCATTAAGGTCCTGTATATATATATGTACTTTGACGTTGATATCGAGCCTGTATGGCGTGTTTACACTTACTATCCCTGGGATGTTGCATTTACTATCCCTGGATAATGTATGTCTTGCCGTTAGTGGGATCTTGCAACATTGGATGGGGTAATTTTGTGTGAAATATTTCCCCACCGTTCAAACTATTGACCACTACGGTCTCCCTAATTTCTCCCCTTCTGTCTCTTATTGTCCCCCAACCACTTGCTGGACGGTAGAGCGACGGTCTCGCTTCATGCAGGTCGGCGTTCAATCTATCCCCTACCGTCCACAAGTGGTTGGGTACCATTCCTTTCCTCACCCGTCTCATCACAAATCCTTATCCTGACTTTGTCCAAGTGCTATATAGTCGTAATGGCTTGGCGCTTTCTCCCTGATGGTTTCTTCCTTCCCCCTGATCCTTTCTATAGCCCGTCTCTGCTTCTTTCCCCTCCCTCCCTCTTCCTTTTAAATACAATCCTTCCTCTTAAAATGAAAGTACTTACAGTACCTATTTGGCGGAAAGTACCAATATGTAGTGATGGACCACCAGAAAGTACCAATATGTAGTGATGGACCAACAGAAAGTACCAATATGTAGTGATGGACCAACAGAAAGTACCAATATGTAGTGATGGACCAACAGAAAGTACCAATACTGCCCGAAACGCTGCGCGTACTAGTGGCTTTACAAGAATGTAATTACTATGCTATGTATCCTCACAATCCCAATGTACCTTCTTGTATATAAATAAATAAATAAATAAATAAATAAATAAATAAATTATGTAGTGATGGATCACCAGAAAGTACCAATATGTAGTGATGGACCACCAGAAAGTACCAATATGTAGTGATGGTCCACCAGAAAGTACCAATATGTAGTGATGGACAACCAGAATGTAGTGATGGACAACCAGAAAGTACCAGTATGTAGTGATGGACCACCAGAAAGTACCAATATGTAGATATGGACCATCAGAAAGTACGAATATGTAGTGATGGACCACCAGAATGTACCAATATGTAGTGATGGACCACCAGAAAGTACCAATATGTAGAGATGGACCATCAGAAAGTACCAGTATGTAGTGATGGACCACCAGAAAGTACCAGTATGTAGTGATGGACCACCAGAAAGTACCAATATGTAGTGATGGACCACCAGAAAGTACCAATATGTAGTGATGGACCACCAGAAAGTACCAATATGTAGTGATGGACCACCAGAAAGTACCAATATGTAGTGATGGACCACCAGAAAGTACCAATATGTAGTGATGGACCACCAGAAAGTACCAATATGTAGTGATGGACCACCAGAAAGTACCAATATGTAGTGATGGACCACCAGAAAGTACCAATATGTAGTGATGGACCACCAGAAAGTACCAATATGTAGTGATGGACCACCAGAAAGTACCAATATGCAGTGATGGATCACCAGAAAGTACCAATATGTAGTGATGGACCACCAGAAAGTACCAATATGCAGTAATGGATCACCAGAAAGTACCAATATGTAGTGATGGACCACCAGAAAGTACCAATATGTAGTGATGGACCACCAGAAAGTACTAATATGCAGTAATGGACCACCAGAAAGTACCAATATGTAGTGATGGACCACCAGAAAGTACCAATATGCAGTGATGGACCACCAGAAAGTACCAATATGTAGTGATGGACCACCAGAAAGTACCAATATGCAGTAATGGACCACCAGAAAGTACCAATATGTAGTGATGGACCACCAGAAAGTACCAATATGTAGTGATGGACCACCAGAAAGTACCAATATGCAGTAATGGACCACCAGAAAGTACCAATATGCAGTGATGGACCACCAGAAAGTACCAATATGTAGTGATGGACCACCAGAAAGTACCAATATGCAGTAATGGACCACCAGAAAGTTGACTTGTATTACTTTTTTTTTTTACTTTTTATTACTTTAAGCCCTTTTTTTTAACTGCAACTTAAATATAGACCCTAACCCCTTCTAATAATCCTAGGCCTAATGCACTCTTCGGCCTAATATAATACATATAGGCCTATGGATGTTTAATTATGCTTTTTACCTTTATTTTTGTTCCAAATAAAAATTGAAGTAGAAAAAGTTAACTTTCTGGTGGTCGATCATTACATATTGGTGCTTTCCGTCAGATAGTTACTATAGATACTATTATTTCAAAAGGATTAGCTGCTGAAATAGATATCCCGGGAGGAATACATTATAGATTCAAATTATTGTTTAAAATACGCAACATGTTTTGGGTGTATGTGAGATATATGGAGAACGGCCGACCGACAGGGAGCCGGTCGGCCGAGCGGACAGCACACTGGACTTGTGATACTGTGGTCCCGGGTTCGATCCCGGGCGCTGGCGAGAAACAATGGGCAGAGTTTCTTTCACTCTATGCCCCTGTTACCTAGCATTAAAATAGGTACCTGGGTGTTAGTCAGCTGTCACGGGCTGCTTCCTGGGGGTGGAGGCCTGGTCGAGGACCGGGCCGCGGGGACACTAAAGCCCCGAAATCATCTCAAGATAACCTCAGTACATCGGCTTGATGCTCCCAAGATTTGTGTGTGTTGCTGCTGCTCACCCAAGACGTGGAAGCCAAATATGTTTAGTTTTCTCGGTGTTTTAACATGTCGGATCTTGTGACTTGAGCTGGCCCCTTCTCTCTCTCTCTCTATCTATATCTTTTCTCCCCCCCTCTCTTTCCTCCGAGTGCCAATAAACACAGGGCGCTCTGCTCTCTCCCCGAAAACCCCCTCTTCCTCCCCTCACTTCCCAGACGCCACCGCTATTCCTCCCTCCCCTGACGCCACCACTTCTCCCTCAGACGCCACTACTCCTCCCCCAGACGCCACCACTCCTCCCCCAGACGCTACCACTCTTCCTCCCTCACTAGACGCCACCCCTCTTCCTCCCTCTCTCCCCAGGGGCCTCCCCCTCTCCCCCGCACGTATCACTCACTCTCACTCACCGTGTAACTCTCCCAACTCATACATTATTCATCATAATATGAACAATCGGACTCAGAATCGGTCAAATCCAGGGCTGGAGAGTCACGTCCGGGACCTCCGTTATGTCACCTCAGTGTTTACCATCCACCAACACTCGTCCGCCTTGTGGCCGCGGCTTACACCC